CACACACACACACAGCCAGCCCCAACGGAACGCCATTGGGCTGGGGAAAAAACGCAACCCTCCCACAGACAGACAGCCCCAGTGGAACGCTTTGGGGCTGGGAAAGAACACTCAAAAACAAACCCCACACACACAGCCAGCCCCAGTGGAATGCCATCTGGCTATGGGAAAAAACACAAAAACACCCCGTACACATGCATCCAGCCTGCCTGACTGCAATGGGACTGGGAAAAACAACAAAACACAAAAATTATCACAGCACAGCACGGAAACATAACCATCCCAACCCAAACACCCTGCAAAAGCGGGGGAAAAACACAATCCCCCCACACGCACACAGCCTGCCCCAGTAGAACGCCATGGGGCTTGGGGGGGGGGGAATTGCAAAAAAACCCAACAACACACACACACACAGCCAGCCCCAACGGAACGCCATTGGGCTGGGGAAAAAACGCAACCCTCCCACAGACAGACAGCCCCAGTGGAACGCTTTGGGGCTGGGAAAGAACACTCAAAAACAAACCCCCCACACACAGCCAGCCCCAGCGGAATGCCATCTGGCTATGGGAAAAAACACAAAAACACCCCGTACACATGCATCCAGCCAGCCCGAACACGATGGGGCTGGGAAAAACATCAAAACACAAAAATTATCACAGCACAGCACCGAAACATAACCATCCCAACCCAAACACCCTGCAAAACACTAAATGTACTTACTCAGGAGCAGAAAGCAGCTCCAGGCATTCCGAAGCCTCCTCCCATGCACTCACTCTAACCATTGGGGCGAAAGAACTACAAAGAAGCAGCCTCTTCACCTACCAACAGTTAGCAAATTTGAATTCCCCACCTTTTTCCCTGCCTTTTTCCTGTCACGACGCAAAGCTCTGGCCACAAGTCGAAGCAAACTTTTGCAGCTGGAGCTGGTCGTAACTCAAAATGGTCGCAAGTTGGGACGTTCTTAGGTCGAGCCACCACTGTACTATCAAACCTGGTTTGCATAGATTACTCAGCAAAATCAATAAATGAATTATGGATGCAATCTAAAATTGAATATAAAATCATATTTATGGTCATAAAAAAGCAAGCACTCTAAGTAAGGTAGTAAATAGTCCCTCATGAACGTGTGAAATAGGTTGGCAAATACAAGTACCTCAGAATTTGACTGAATTAACAGTGGGATCATAGCCATACAATAAAAGCCATACAATAAAAGTGGAATAGCTTCTTTAAAATGAAAAAGAGAGCAAGCAATAAAACCTGAGACTTGCCTCTTGAGAATGTGCATCGTACAGTGCTAAATTGTCTCAAGCGCACTGTATGACATGAATTTGTGTACACGGGCAACTATAAAAAAGAGAATTAGATAAAGACAAATCATAAAACAGGAAAAACATGGAATACTTGGATTATGTAATAAGAAACAAAAGAAACTGATGGTTATGGCTGACCATTCAAGACAACTAAGTCACAGAAGAATTGCAGGAAAAAAGAGCTTCCTGACTGAAAAAACACTAGGCATGGGGTTTTGTTGTTTTGTTTTTTCAGTACAGCTCCCAGCATTCATCAGGAATTCCCACAGCCAGTAGTCTCTCTTGGTCACTTGGCCCTGATTGGATGCCTCTCAGAAAACTACAAATCCCTCAATTCCTTGCAGCTAGCATGGAACTGGGATGGTCCCACCCGGTTGCTGTCTGATGATCAGAGCTGCAGAGAGGGAAGTGTTGGGCCACAGATGTGTATGCCAAAACCCTTCTAAAGATTTGGATTTTAAATTTTTATTTTATTTTGTTTTGCTATCACTACCAGAATTCTGGCTGGGGGAATTCTGGGAGTCGTAGTGAAAGAAAAACACAAGCTGCTACCCCTCAAGTGCAGGCATGAGCGTCTAAAGAAAGACATCAAAACCTTTTTGATTTCTCTATAAACGGTAGCAGCACAAACCTGCCCTACACAAAGTAGGACAGGAGTTGAGCTGTACTGCACCCATCCCAAGAATTAAGGCTCTGGAGAGGAGCAGGGCTAGGACTCCCCACCCTGAGTCCTGATCAGAGAAAGAGCAGCTGGCTAGAGGTGGGAGAGCCTTCCTTAGGGGAGCTCTCATACAACCCCGGGCTTGCAGGGGAC